TGGGAGAGTATAACAGGTATTTAGTCAATTAAAAGCTCAAAACTAAGAGATGACAGAGGTAGAAAGACAAACATTTGTAAATAACTAGCTGCCTTTGAAACCGAATGAAAATCACCCATTAAGTGACTGAGCTAAGAAGGCAGAAGAGAACCCAAAAGCAAGGTAGTCAGGAAAGGGGTCAAAGTAATGAGTGCATGAATCCAGGGTGTAGAGTACCTGCTGCAAATAAAAATTAACCCTTCAAAAGAGCTCAACTTGTAACAGCCAAAGAGCCCAGCTATCAGCTAGCTGGCCTGTTCCCAGTATCTAAGGCAGCGGTTCTCAACCTGTGGGTCGCGACCCCTTTGGGGGGTCGAACGATGCTTTCACAGGGGTCGCCTAAGACCATCGGAAAACACATATATAATTACATATTGTTTTTGTGATTAATCACTATGCTTTAATTATGTTCAATTTGTAACAATGAAAATACATCCTGCATATCAGATATTTACATTACGATTCATAACAGTAGCAAAATTACAGTTATGAAGTAGCAACGAAAATAATTTTATGTTGGGGATCACCACAACATGAGGAACTGTATTAAAGGGTCGCGGCATTAGGAAGGTTGAGAACCACTGATAAGGGATCAATCCAAGTGAGCTTGAGTCCAAAAGGCAATAACACAGTATCTTGGCTCTGCAAGTTTTGCCCTGGACAAGAACAGGTTCCAGCTGCCTGAGGGGAGTAGGGATGGCAGGAGCAGAGGGAAATGGCCAAGCTGTCAGAGTTCTAAGCAGGCTTAAAAGAGGTTCCAGGTCCACAAGGGATCTGGAATACAAAAAACAACCACACGAGCAACTTATTAATTCTATGGACTATTTAACAATTACTAAAGAAAGGCTGTAGAATTGCTTCTCAGGTTACCTTTAAAAATAAACACTCAAAAAAAAAGCTGTCATCTGTTTAAATGACTTAAGTATGACCTTCACGTGTCAGAGAAAAGGACTAGATATTCTTCCTATTTCTTATTAATTGCCTGATTCTATATCCTAATTCCATCTAAACCTATGTTAATATATTCTAGATCAGTGATGGCGAACCTTTTGAGCTCGGCGTGTCAGCATTTTGAAAAACCCTAACTTAACTCTGGTGCCGTGTCACATATAGAAATTTTTTGATATTTGCAACCATAGTAAAACAAAGACTTATATTTTTGATATTTATTTTATATATTTAAATGCCATTTAACAAAGAAAAATCAACCAAAAAAATGAGTTCACGTGTCACCTCTGACACGCGTGTCATAGGTTCGCCATCACTGTTCTAGATGCTCCACACACACTTCACTAAGATGTTTATGCCATATAGTTCAAAATTCCTAATGGAAGTACAGTATTTTTAAAACTGAGAATCTCACAAACTGAGTACATGCCAAGGGTAAAGTGAAACACCATATCTCTGTGAACAATAATTGCTCAGAGAACCAAAATAATTCCATATCCCACCTCCTGAAAAGGATAGGAATCTTCATGTATTTCAGTCTTAAAAATCCATTTAAGAACTGGGTAGAAGGGACAACACTGGCAGTAGGCAGGCTGGGTAGACTAGAATTGATGTAAGAACCAGTTAAGCTAGATGTATAATTATTTGCCCCCTATACATTAAACACCACCCTACTCTACTGTACAACTGTTTTCAGTAATAGTGTCAGCAGAAAGAAAAATGCATGTAGTCCAAAGATGTTGTTCCTGTCAAGGCCATTATTTATATGACTACATATTCAAATAGGAACTGCTCTATGGAATTGGCCCTGCATTTGCCCAAACATTATTTGCCAAGGCTATTCAAAGGGTGGAGTGGTGGTACTTTCCAAAAGAAATACTTGACAATTGTCCTCAGTTAATTTTTTTAAATAAACAAAACATGCTAATCTATTAAAGAAAAAGGCTGCTTGACAATTTTCCTCAATTTTTTAAATAAACAAGACATGTTATTCTGATCTATTAAAGAAAAAGGTGATAAGACTTAGAGAAAAAGAAAATATAGTGGTTTCATTGCATGGGTTTTTTGTTGTTGTTGTTAGCTATATTACCAACATGAAGCATGCATGACCTATCTAGCCCAGCCCCAAACACTGTAAAATATCAATTCTGGACAGCTTACCAAGGTAGCCAGGCTCCCAAAATCATGTTTCTTTTCTTTATATGATTTTGTTATTGCTGTTGTTGTTGTTATTTTTGGGTTTTTGTTGTTGTTGTTTTTGGGGGGGGGGAGGGAGGGAATAAGGGAAACAGGAGAGAAACATCTATTTGTTGTTCCATTTATTTATGCACTAATTGATTGACTCTTGTATGTGCCCTGACTGGGATAGAACCTACAACCTTGGTGTATGGGGCCCTATAGCCAGGACCCCAAAGTCATATTTCTTACAAAGGTCTTTATGCTGAAAAAGATATACTTATAAAGTGAAACCAAGACTTTAAAATGGCCCTACAGTAATTAGGGTCATTCAATTCATGGTTGTCAAACTTCATTCCAGTGGAAAAGTCATAGTATATTAGCTTAAGGTGTTCTACCAAAAATTAAATAAAGGTGTCCCTTTCCCAATGTCACAGTAACATGTTACTAATATATGTGATACCTGCTATGGATTTCAGCCTAGTAGAGTATCTGACTCAACACACACAAAAAAACAGAAATATTTCAGGTTTACAATATAATGATGATGGCTTCCAGGACACTTGGCTATGGTCAAGTTTGGTTAAACTCAAGACCACAAACATTTACAGAGTACCCACTACACTTGACACAAGGCCTACACAGATAAGACATGGTCCATCTTTCATGAAGCCATCAGGAAAAGTGCACACAAGCCAAGAAGTATTTACTAAATGCCTATACTAAGCACTGTGGCATAAGAGATGCAAAGAATTCACCCCACCCCAGCAAAGGCTTCAGGACTTCTGTATTTGAGGACCACTAAGTAATGGTGCTGGGGATGCTGGAATCTGGTTACTACATGTGTATAGGACCTTTATTCCTAATTCATAAAAAGATTATAGACACCCAACACTGAGACTCTAGAAATGCCAATTTCCCATGCCTGGACTATCAGAATCAATAATATAAGTAAACACTCTTGAAATGAAAATACATAATTACTAAATCCAAACTAACTGGAAAGTACTATTTCAATTGATAGAAAGTAAACATTCCCTAACTATAAATAATTTGTATCACTTGCTTCTAATGGGTACAAATCACAAATTAAGGCAATTACTCAAAACCGGGGAGGGAAAAATAAAAATTTAGTAATTGCTTGACTGTTCATAAGATACCATAATCAAAACAAATTTTCATACAGGAATATCCATGAGGGAGGTCTGAATTATCTACTTAAGTATCTAGTTCATGAAGTCTTCAGCTCCTTTTCAATCTCAAGTAACTTTCTCTGGTTAATTTCTTTCTGTAAAATAATGGGGTTGGATTAAACCGCCAGAGTCCCTTGCACATAGAAAACTCTGTACTTCTGTGGTCCTTAAGATTAAAATGTCAATGCAGTTTCAAAACAGTGTCAAGAAGCCATCTTAAAAATTCCCTTTCCTACCTCATCTCAGTATCTCACTTCAGAGTTTACCTACTCAGTTTTCAAGTTTGTCAAAGAAAAGTTTCATGAATCAAAAGGTACTCTTTCCACCCTCAATACTAAAACTGTTTCATTAAACATGAAATCCTAGGGAAAATATAAAACAACAGGAAGTGGGAGCTGAGGAGAATCTATTCCACTTTTAGACCTGTAACGCACTAATTAAAATTCAATACTGCGCTTGGTACCTGGGCTCCTCCACCAAACTCCGGCCGTGCTTTAGCTCAAGGTCACACAGGTTAACAGAACCCAATAAAACGGCTCTATTGGATTGTATCAGACCTCCTTCCAGCAGCCCCTGCACCTGACCGCCACGTGAGCTGTAACAGCAGCTGCAGGGGCAGCACCCCATCACCAAGGCGCGCCACGGCGCCCGGGGGCCGCATTCTGCAACCCACCTCTTGTGGAAAGTCAGTTTCCAACCTGGTTTCAACTCACGTTTTCCATTTCAAACTGGTGCAGGTGGAGGAAAACAGTATCAAGCCTCCTCTCTGAACCTCCAGCCGCACTGCCTCAAGGCGCTAACCTAAGAATGCTCTCAAAGATAAAATCGAATGCAGTGCGGGTCTCAGAAGACTCTAGAAGTTGTATTTGGGAGAGGGGGGGAAAGAGCAAGCCCTCGGGACTAAAGGTTAAGTGACGAGACGGGGTACAGGGCTGGATTCACAGGACTTAAATTCAGAGACCCTTTCCGCCCCGACAGTCGGGACCCTGATCTGAGCACACGCCGGCTCCTCCTGGGACGGGTCCTGGGAGGGCAGGGAGCTCTTTAGCCTCTGCAGACACGGGGGCGGGGCGGCTGGCGAGGTCGGCGCAGTCCGGGTGACACCGGGCCACGCGCAACGGGTCCCTTCGGGGAAACCTGGGGCGCGCGTCGCCAGGGACCACCCGCCCGCCGTGTCTAGGTCGGCGCGGAGGCCCCTCCGTCTCCTCCGGCCGATCGGGAACCCGGCCTCCCATCTCCCCACGCGAAGGCGACGCGCCCCACCCGCCCTCCGCGGCGGCGCGAGGGCGACGGCGCCCCGGACCGCTAGGAGCCCGCAGGCTGGGCGCGCAGAACCCGAGGAAATGAAATCAGAAAATGGCCAGCGCGTAGAGGTGCGCAGGGTGCCCGGCTCGGGACACGGAACCGACGGCGGCGCGAGGAGCGCAGCGCCTGCGCCCGGGAAGCACGCCGCCCGCGCGGCCCGCAGCTCCGCCCCCCGACCCCCCCCCCCTCACCGGCTCCCCCACGCCGCCGCTGCCCCTCTGGGAACTCCGCGCCGCGCGGCCCCGCGAGGCGGGCGTCCGAGAGGGGAGGGGCCGCGCTCCCCGCCTTCCCCCCACCCCGCCACAGTCCGCGCAGCTCCCCAGTCCGGAGCCTACTCACCACCTCCTCCTCCTCCTACCCCTCCGCCTCCTCCTCTCCGTCTCTCCCTCCTGGTCACCGGCGCGGCCCAGCCGGCGACGCGCTGACGCCGCGCCCCACCCCCGCGGCCGCCGCCGCCCCTCCCGGGCCTCGGCCGCAGCGGCCTCGGGGTGCGTCAGGCGCAGGCCCCGCCCCTAGACCCGCCCACGTCCTCGAGGCCCCGCCCCCCGCAAGCCGGACGCTGCGCGTGCAGTGTCCCTGGCTCGGCCTCTGCTCCGCCCGCGGGAGCCCGCTGCGGCGGGTCGCGGCCACCGCTCCGCTCCGCACCTGCCCACCGGGAGGGCCTCCCGGCGCCTCCTCCGCCCGCCGCCCTTTCCCTTCTCTCGTCAGCACGTCCGTCTGCCCCTTCAGCTCTGTTGCACCTTCCCCCACCCCCTAGACCTGTAGGCTGGCCTTGGCGCCTTCTCTTTCCTCCTGGGCGGTCTTCGCTGCTCACTGGGTCAGCCTGGGCTTCCGCTAGCAGTTTTCCTGCCGGCCCCTTCTCTCCCCATCGCGGGTCCTCCGCCCGGCCTGCTGGGTCCCCAGGGCCCCAGCTCGTCCCCGGCTCCTTCCCCGCCACCTCCACCGGGGCCGTGGAGCTTGCACCTCCTGGCGCCTGCCTCGCCAGCGCGCCCGACTTTCCGTCCCTCGGGCCCCTCCTGGGACCCCCCAAAGGCTTTGGCTCACGCCTGCCTTTACCTACATTTGCGCGTCCTTTGGTTCTGACCACTCCACACACTTCGGATGCAGTTTGAGTGTTCGAGAACTGCATGTCCGTGGTCCCACTTAGCTGAGGAGTCGCTAAGTAATTAAAAATCACAAAGCAAACCGATAGCAGTGGGGACCACCTTTGACCTACATCGGTCCAGCTATATTTCTTTGACACTTAAATATCAAGGGATGGAGGTTTCTATTGGGTCTTACAATTCACACATTTTGGATTTTTTTTTCCCCTGCAACCTAACCTCGCTTTTGTGCTTTTATTTTTAGAAAATACGTAGTCAATAGAGAGAGCATCAGGACCTTTTAGGTCTCTTGTTTTCTTACTTAAGAGGTGAGGAATTGTATCTTTTCTGAGATTCTGAATTAAAGGATTTTGTATTTGGAATCAGGTTGTGGGTTTAAGGAGTCTAGAGAAGGCAAAACATTGCAAATGTAACTGGAAATCTGGTTACTTAATTTAAAAAAAAAAAAAAAAAACCAGCAACTTGAAAGAGTTGGGCTATGGACGTGAGATAACATACCAAAATAAAGGAAACTGATTAGGCCTTTGGAGTTACATTCACAAGTTGCTTTAAATTATGTGAGTAGGCATTATTATCCTTCAATTGAAGTGTTAAAACTATCTTCCATTCTCAACAAAATCCAGGCTCTGTGTGGATCTTCAAAGTTTAAAACCATTGTGAATTGAACAACAACATTACAGGCATTTGAAAGCCTAATAAACCATCTGCCCATCCACTCTAACACAAATTGGGAAAAAGAAAAGTGTAAATGCCAAAAGCTGAAAGCAAGGGTTTCTAACTACACACAAAACTAGGAAACCTTGTCCCACAAAGTAAGTATAGGAAAAACTCCAAAGGCTATGGTACCCATTTCATTGATTTGGATCAGAATCGTGTCATTTTATCATTGAATGATCCAGTCCTTAGTATCATCTGGAGTCTAATCTTTGCATTTTACAGATGAAGAACTAACTCCCAGAGAGGGTAAATTGCTTGCTCGATATTACCCAGACTAATTGGAAACAAAGCCAGGATTGGAGCTCAGACCTCATCTCCCGTACCTGCCAACATCTGGCTTATACTTACTACTTACAGTTGTTCAGCATCAGAAGTCTTTGGCTTTGCAGTTTTGCCTACATGGTCCGAGTGATGTATGAAATTGAATTTGGCATTAACTAGGGAGGTATTGCTGTCAGAGGCCATTCTGTCCCACTGGCTTCAGGGATTCCTGTTGCATAAGCTCCATTTCACCCGGTCAGGGTTCATCTTCCTAATCCAGGCAATTTTGGCCAGGCCTCTGGAGCCATGTCCCAAACCAACACATTTATCCTAGGAGGTGCCAAGGGTTGTGCATGAATGTAAAAATTGTGAAGCTGTTATTACTATTATTGTGAACATTACTGGAAAGGAAAATATGAAACAAGGTAATAAATATTCTGCCATGAATAACCAAGGATTCAATGATAAAATCCAAATCTTAAACTAGATGTTATCCATGTAAATTAAGGGAAGACTTCTTAAATGGACAAAAAAGGAAGTGTAGAATCTGGATTGCTTGATAGGGAAAAGGTAAAGAAAATTGCTTGACAAAGGCACTGAGAAGAAAATGTGTAAGCTAAAAATGGGAAAGGGGTCACGTGAATTAAAACAGGAGGTTTATTTTAGAACCAATAGAAAATCAAGCTGACATGATAGGGCAGAACCATTGGTACGGGGTTTGAATTTTAGCCTGAGAAATTTAAACTTAATAGGAGATTATTTAGGTTGGATTTGGCAGGGAAATAGAAGGAAAGACAAGACAGGAGCACATAACCTTGTTTGGTTCTGAAGTAGTAAGTCAGAATTAATAAGAAATGTTAGATGTAAATGCCACTCAGGAAAAAGATGATTTCGGTAAGTATATATAGGGATCAAAGAAGAATAGGAAGTCCAAGATGACTTGAGACTGATAGCAAGACTCAATAACAGTATCCAGAGACCTGAGTATCTTACCCTTGGAGGATGATCAGCACTCAACGAAGTATAGACTATCAATTGCTAGAGAAGGAAACAAGAAATTTTCCCAAGGTATACTCTCCTATTCATCATACCCTCATTCCAGAAAACTTTAGTTTGCTACTCAAATTGAATTAGAAGGTAAGAAAGAAAGCTCTCACCCTGTCATGGGCCCTTGTGCTGGTGTTTTACGGTCGACCTATTTTTATTTCCGTTACAGCCCTACTGATGTAAAAGTGTTCAGTGGTGCAGTATATAAGGTTAGAGTTAGAAATAAACCAAGAAGTGTTCGTTGAATACATACCACATGATGCTTAGCACTCTGCTAGGCCTGAAGGGCTGGAGAAGTATAAAAGGGCCTCTGCCTTCCAGAAGTTTATAATCTGGTTCGAGAAATCAGGTCCACCCACCTAACACCAAAGAGGATACATTCCACAGGCAGTAAAGTGTGCTGATGCAGAAATAGTGAGGAATAGGGTTGAATGGAATGGGACTGATATAATTTATATCAGTTTTTCATTCGCCTTTAATCCTTGCTCTAGGTTGTGGAGGAGGAGCAGTATAATAAGAAGCTCTCATGGTGCACACATTCCACTTAGAGACAGAGAGGAACAAATAACTACACAACTACCAAGAAGTAATAACTACTCCAAAGAAAATAAAACGTGAGGGGGTCAAAATGATTATCTGGAGAGTAGGTTAGACCCTTCTGAGGAGCATTGAAACAATGACTTGGATGAAAGAAATGGCCAGTCGTGCACTGATCTGGAGAAGAGCCGTTCAGGCAGAGAGTAAACTAGTACAGAGCCCTCCGGAAGGGTCAAGCTTGGTGTGTTAGAGATGGAAAAGGTGAGTGTTTCTGGAGTGTAAAGAGCCAGGAGGAAAGCAAATGGTATGAAACAGGAGAGGTAAGGAAGGCCTCGTAGATAAGAAAGGATTTTAAGGTCAGGTTAAAGTGTGGACCTGTGGAAGATTAGTCAAGCTGACATTCTGGATTAGAGGAGGGAGTGATTAGGATCAGGAAGACCAGATGGAAGCCTGTGTGATCATCTGGTCAGGGAGTGATATAAGGTAGAAGAGGTTAGTGGCCAAGTTAGCAGAGAAGACAAAAAAAATGTCAAGAAGATCAAGTATTGGGTATTTCTGAGGGGTGGTAGGCGGTGTTGGTTGTGGAGAGTCCACAGTGTCAAATGCAGCAGAAAGGTCAAGTAGAATAACCAGTAAGTGAAAGCTACTAAAGCTAACAAGAAAATGTCAGGTGTGACCTCTAAGAGAAGAATTTCCATAGGGTAGGGTGATCAGAAGAAAGGAAATGGAGGCAGTGAACTTTGTATCACTACAACTCAAAATATACAAAGCATATGCACATTTTATTTACCCTCTAAGGCCGTTTATATTTGGGGTACTATTTAACTTCTGGAGCCCTGTAGACATTCTCAGCCAGGTCCAAATTTGTGTCTCTGTACTGAAGGAAAAACAAGCTTATACCATAGAGAAGTATCTAATACGTTTTTCTAGGCCAAAAATCAGTCACATCAGTGACTCCCCGCTCGAAAAGGATTCAGAGAAAGTTCACTCTTACTCCTGAGATAGGGAAAGTCTCACAGTAGAAATACTAAGGTAGTACCATATCAGTTATGGTTCCATTCCTGCCACGTGTCAGGGGTCTAAGTCGTGTGGTCTGTGGATACTACCCTGCCTGCGCATATCACATAATCTTACTGAACTCCAGCGTTTCATTAGTTAGGAATAGAAATCTCTGAGAATGTAGGCCTACGGGCATACAGGTTAGCACTCTGTAAAATGGAAAAAAACATCCTTCTAACAGGTCCTCATGAACAACTATGACTCCAAATGGTACTTTGCAAAGTCTTTCCAAAAAGACAGCTTGGTTGAACTAGATGTTCTTTTGTTAAACGAATTGCAAAGCAATGAATGCGTACCTTTCTTTTCCTGGAAACAGACTAATTTGGCAGTCAGAGTGGAAGGGGAGCCTGAAGTAGCCTCCATTTGTAACGATGCAGCTTGCCCATCTCAAGGAAAGCAAGCCTGGCTGGCTGAGTGGAACCCACACGCGCGTGTGCATGCCTTCTCCCAATCTTCTGATGTGGGCGGGTAAAGTGTGTTAATTTGTTAGGTGTTATTGCAAAATGGAATGCTATTAGCACTCTTTTTTTTGTTTGAAATTTACTTCGTTTTGGGGACCGCTGGGAGCAGTTACTCTCTTGGGATGGTTTGGAAAGCTTCATTAAATTCAATGAAGGAAAAAGAAGTGTAAATTATTCTTAAAATAATCATGAAATTTACTATGTTTTAATTGCTGGCCCAAATGCTTCTCAAGTCAATACTGACCAAGGATTCCTAGCCTTAATGA